ATTATAATTACTACTATTATTATTATTATTATTGTTATTATATATTATTATTTTTATTATTATTATTATTTTACACTGCCTTTCTTACATTCCTAAAATTAATGTATGCGTGTTTCAGAGGAATAAGAAAGCGTTTGCTTGTTTGTTTGTTTGTTTGTCTGTCTGTTTGTTTGTTTGTCTGTCTATCTGTCTGTTTGTTTGTCTGTTAGTCTAATTGTTTGTCTGTCTTTTTTTGTTAGTTTGTTTACTTGGCTGTTGGTTTTTTGTGTTAGTATTTGTTTGAAATTTCGCAAATACAATTTATGTATGTATGTGTATGGGTATGTACGTAAGCATGCATGTATGTTGGTATGTGTGTATGTTTGTTTGTATGTTTGTACATTTGTTTGTATGTAGGTATGTTTGTATGATTGTTTGTTGGTATGTATGTATGTATGTATGTGTGTGTGTACGCTTCATAAGTTAATATATACACAAAGGAAAGCATGAGATGATTAATTGAACGACCAATAATTCTCCGGAAAAATATATTTCTCCCCATCAATAAATTTATAAGATTCGGCTAGTATTAACACTAATAGCAGTAGTAGTAGTAGTTTTAGTAGTGTAGTAACTGTAGTAGCTGCAGTAGCTGCAGTAGTAGTAGCAGCAGTAGCTGCAGTAGTAGTAGCAGCAGTTGTGATAGTTGTAGTAATAAAAATTGTAATAATAATACATGTAGCAGTGATAGTACTAATGCTAATAGTAGAAGTAGTTGTTGTTGTATTTTTTGTGGTGTCGCAACAGTAGTAGCTTCAGAGGCAGCTGGGGTTATAGTGGTAGTAATGAATATGATAATAAAAATAATAATGGTAGATTCGCTAATACCGCAGACGAATGCGTTATAATAGTACGCGAACGGGATGGCGAGCAAGAAAAGATTTATTCAGTTGGTTGATTGATTGAATATCAGATGGGCATTATAGTGTGGATTATGCCGCTGTGACTGTTATTCATTCATTCTTTCATTCATTTATTCATTCGTTCATTCGTTCATTCGTTCATTCCTTCATTCATTCATTCGTTCATTCGTTCGTTCGTTCGTTCGTTTATTCATTCGTTTTTTCAATCGATCGATTGTTCATTACATTATTTCCGTGAAATTCATTCATTATACTAAAAAAAGTATTTATGTCACACAATAAAAATAAAATTTGTCGAACCAAATACTATAACTACTGCTGCCACTACTACTGCTACTGCTACTACTACTACTACTACTGCCACTGCTAAATATTCCTAATAATACTACTACTATTACCCTACTACTACTTCTAATACTACTACTAATACTATTACTACAACATCTTGCACTTTATATTAGGCTACCTGCAAATTGCATTACTATTACTTCTTGACAATTTTCATTCGATTGCTGAAGTTGTTGTTGATGTTGTTGTTGATGATGCTGTTGTT